GAGAATTGTGGAGCTTAGGGGCAAAGAGATCACACTCTTGCACTGCAATGACTGGTGCTGAGCCAGTCCAAGGTTAGGAGCATCTTCCTGGTCTCCCACAAGGGTGCAGGGTCTCAACACCTTGGCCTGTCTCTACTGCTTTCCCAGGCCACAAGCTGTGAGCTGGATCAGAAACAGAGCTGCCAGTATTAGAAATGATGTCCATATTCATCCTGTTGTGTTTATAGTGAGGACTTCAGTCACCAGGCTACTGCACCAGACTCTAACTCTTAAGCCATCACACCAGAACCCTCCTCTGACATTTTTCAGATATTTACTAGCGTTTCTATGTATGCACACTCAATTCTAATGTCAGCATACACTAGATATTAATGTCAAATATTTAAACAGTTGCAGTTGTATGTTAAAAAGTATAGACAGTTATATAAGTAAAACTTACAAGGCTCAATTTTCAACAAGATGAAGCCTTTAAGTATTTTATCCTAGCTTTTTCTTTCCATTGCATGGTAGCCATACTTCTGTAGGACAAAATGTTCTACAAGCTATTCTCTTCCATAACAATCTGCTAATTTTCTTGATTTACATTTTGAAACAATCATATAAGGCTCCAAATGGAAACATTCTCTAAATAAAAGCATACCAAATTTAAATGCAATTGCTTTAAGCAATTTTTAAGCATTTCTTTCAATGTGTGGAAACACATTTTAACACAACCTGCCTTAAAACTGGGAATGAGAAGTTTTTCAAATAACCTTATTCTAGCTGATTTGGGAATCCTCCCTCCTCAAAAGAAGGCAGATAAAAATCACAGTGGGGACCTGATGGAATCCAGCGTTCTAAATTCCTTACAAAGGGCAGACTCCTAGCATGCCCCTCCTTTTCCATGGCTGGTAGGCCTGGAGCTTCTACTTAGCTTCTGTTTATTTGAAGTCAAGAGAGGCGAAAAACTTCAATTTGGCTGTTGTCTTAAGAGAGTTCCTATGATTTTATTAGTTATCAATAAGATGAAAATTAGTGTAAAGGTGATGTTAAAATACTGTTGTTCTTCAATACGAATCAGATTTCAATTCCATTTTCTTAAAGGCAAAATTCAGAAATTATACATGTGACAACCAATTACACTATACATTTCAAAAGAATTAGTTGTTTTCCTGTTAGGCAAAATCTCACATACTTCTTTGTAAATAAGAACACAAATAATTTACAATCAGGGCCAATTTCATGATTAGGAAACATTTTGACCAATGAACATAAAAGCTCATTTACTTTAATAGCTTATAGGATGCAACAAATTTAACATAATTTTATAATATTGTGAGATTATAATCCAAATTATTTTAAATGACAATTATACTATCCAAATTCTGTCTCAATCTTTGAGAGTTCTAGGGATCCTACAATTTTCAAAGTCTTGAGACCTGGTTTCAAACTCTGAAGAATTTAGAAGTGTAATTTAGTTAAAGAAAAAGTACATTTAACATTTAACTGAACATGTTAACGGATACTGTATTTTAGACCTGATCAGTGCCAGGGCAACACTGTAAATTGAAGACTAAGCAGCAAGAAAACAGTATATGAACTTTTCCTCAGAGGAGAAGGTGAGTCTGGTCTGGCCAAGTCCTGCTAGATAGGTTAGACCTCATTAAAATTTTTTATCAGGAGACAGAAAAAGGGGTTAGTCATGATGCATCCCATCTCGTCTGGCAGTCAGGCATACACGCACCCAATTCTCAACAAGAACAATAACTTAACAATTCAAGACGAATATGTAACTGGAAAAAGAGTATTAAAACAAAGTCTAGTTTTTCTCCAGACTAAAATAGAACACCAACAATAACGAATAAATAAACATATGCACAATCCCAACACATCAGAACAGAAAGACATTTAACTCTCAAACATTTTGCACCTTCCAAATTCTTTGACATATTTTAACCTGGAAATGTTTTATAAAGCAAGTCATAGGTTCATCTCATGCTTTGAGTAAAATTAACAGTGGATTTGGACCAGTCTATATCAGATCACATATATGCACATATATAAATACATATATATATATAACTCTTAAATCAAGTTGCAGAATATGTTTCCTATTTTTTTTCTGCTTCTTATGGATGTTAAATCGCTTATTTCTTAGTCTGCCCCTCTCAGCTTGAGGTGAAGGCTATGAGGTAAAGTTAGAGAAATTTAGATACTGAGGGTGACAGTGTTGTTAAGTCAAGAAAAACTGGAAAAGCAGGTTAGAACAAAGGTTAAAATGGTTACAATGGAGAGGACATCTCTGTGTACTATCCCATGAGGAGAGCAAATGGAGACCTTCAGAGAGAGGAGGATGGGTCTGTCCTTGCAGCAAAGTTTGGGCCTGAATCATGAGGGATGATAGGATTATCATTCGATCTTATATATGCCTGAGCCAATTCTGGGAGCAAATGTACAACATAAAGGCTATCATAGAAGAGATTAAAAAATCCTTTCACTTTTGAGAGAAGTTTTGCTAAAACTACAGCAAATAGTTCCTAACACTCTGTTGATCCTTGACATGGATAGTTCAAAATAGGTCTTATAGACATGATCAGATAGAAAAACCTCTGCTGTAGCCCCTTCTCTTCCTCCATCTTCATGATTTGATGGTACAAGGCAGGATTCTCCCATTCCAAGAGATTGAAGAAGGTAACTCACTTCTATGGCCCATAATGGCAGTCAATCGTGCCAAGATAATCTACAAGGGAGGCTTGCCAGCCTGTTGCTCTTTCTTCAAACTCATTCATAATTACTCATTCAATCAGGGGCAACAGGCTTTGCTGTCTCAAAGTCTTAACACCTAAGGGCTAGCTCTTTGACATCCTGAATTACATCTGCCAGTTGATCAAGACAAATATAAACTCTGGGCGCCCCTCCAATGCATAAATGTACCCACTGGAAGAGACTATCCTCCCGGACAAGGGTAGCTATAAGCACGGGAGAATTTGAAAATGTCCACAGTTGTAACTCTTTCTTAGGGCAATAATGAACAAGTAGCCTTGCCTAGGGCCTTTTGAGTCTCCTGTAAGGCTTGTACATGAGGGAAACTCGTCTCCTAGCATTTTGCCTTTTCAAATAATGGCAGCAATTGCCCTGTAGACATGGGTAGTCAAGGGCATAGCCAATGACCTCTCCAAGAAGCTTTTGAAATTCTACTGGTGAATATTGTTCCTTAACGTTTAGCTGGGATTTCAAGGGGGAGGCCTTTTCAAAACATAGTTCTGTCCCTAAAATTGTAGAAAGAGGGGGGTTATTTGCACCTTCTCTGAGGAGACATTCATGTTAGCTCTGTCTAAAAGTTCTTTTAAATTTTCCCAGACTACTTGCAATTCCTGAGTTGTACGGGCTCCCAAAATATTATTCAAACTGCCAGGAAACAGGGTTGTTGAGAAAGACCCTAAAGACTAGTCTCCGCCCAGAGTGAGTGAGGCTCATTTCTGCCACAGCTTTCTCAGGTCCCCTGCATTCCAGGGATATCACACTGCCACTGGGCAGTTCCCTTCAGGGTTAACACCAGTGGAAAATCCTGAACTGGCTGGTGGAGACCCACCAGAAGGCTTGCACCTGGAGCTCTGTGCTCTGGGCTCCCCTTGACCTTGGAGGTGGGTTCCTGCCCTCTAAACTTCCCAGAAGCTCTTGTTGGGGTGGCTGAGGTGGGCCAGGACCAGTGTTTTGGACATCAGGTTTGCTCTTTTTCCATTCCCAAATATCACGTACAAATAAATTAACCAATGTTACCCACAGTGCCAATGTGACCACGGTCCCTCAGGCCTTGACTGCCTAACCATCTGAGATTTAAAACCCTCAGGACTTTAGCATGTATTTTAGCACCCTAAGTGTGGGATCATCAATCCCCCACCTTTATTACCCATGGCTAAAGAAAGACAGCAGGGAGGAGAGTGCTCAGAATATCCAGTCAGGCTGTTGGGCCCAGGCAATCCAATACAGAGTTCCAGGTGACATTGAACCTTTGCCTCAGCCAGAAATGGTTAGTCCTCAGACAGGATCACCCCAGAGCCAAGCATCCTCAGCTCTCCCTCAAAGCAGAAGATCAGAGAAAAGAGAGGCACTAGGATACCCAGTCGGGCTGTCTGGCCCAGGGGGTCCCCAGCAGAGTTTCAGGTAATGCCAAAGTGTTGATTTGGCCAGAAACTGTCAGTTCTCAAACAGGTTCACCCTAGATTCAGGCATCCATGGCCATCTCTCACTGCCAAAGAAGAGAGACTAGGAAAGAAGCCAATTGGGCACCCAACACCTCCCTTAACTTACACGGTTGGGTGCTGCCCATGATTGTACAGAGCTGTGGGGTGCCTAGGGTCACTTCTGCAGGATACACTCCTGTTTAAGAGGAGGAATACTGTACCTTAGGTCGCCTTCTTTTCTTTGAGACTCACCTGAAGTTCCACCACTTCCCTGACAATGTGCTTCTCTGGTAAGACACTGCTCTGAAGCAATTTACAGCCATTCCTTGCTTCTCTTTCAAAGCCACGCAGTGAGGGGGTGAGAAGGTCCAGCCTTCATGATCCATGCTGGGTGCATGTTCTGCAGGGCCTCCCCTACAGATTCCTTTAGTACCTTGTTCCTGGAGGGGATGAGCCTGCTGCCCACCATCCAGTCACCTGGCATGTGAAAGGAAAGGAAAGGACAGGACTACTGTCTAAGCAGTGACGATTTATAGGGAATATCCTATTCCCTATATAGGGTAAGGAATAACATTAGGCCTGGAATTTGGAGAAGTTCAGGAGGGGAGAAACTAGGAATCAATTACTACGAGAATGACTGAGGAAGCCACCTCCCATAATCCAATGGTGTGTGGGTGAGATGGCCATGGTTTATCAGCATTTCCTTGAAGCTACTTGACTCCTGTCCTGATTCATATGCAGGGTTCTCTCTTGGCCACCATCTTGCCCTCTAGTCCCTGGAGTGTTAGTCGCATTCTTATTGACTTAGTGACCTCTTTACCCCAAGAACCACAGAGGATGATGATTACCTGTGTAAGTAACCCTTTAGCACATCCACAAAGCTGTGATACTCATGGACCCCCAGTGTTTCTAAAGGACAACCCAGTGGATAAGGGACATCCTAGTCCGGTTTTCCTCAGTGTGCCCACTGGACTTAGAATTGGCCCATCCAGCATTCCTGAGGCTGGGCTTGGAGTGTTTAATGAAACATCTGATCTGCCACTGGGTTTGCACTTTGGTGCTTTTGAGGGCGAGATCATAGAAGTGAAACAGCAATCCAACAGATGGCACAGCTGGCAGGTAAGAAGTACCTTCCCAGTCTGGTGGCTTTCCACCTGCATGCTGTGACTTTGGTCTATTTGTCCGGTTCATGTGTCCTTTTACACATTATGGCATGAGTGAAGCCAACATGATTACATCACAGAATCCTTACTGAAGATTAGCATTGATGAGACCACAGGGCTGTAAAACAAAGCAGTTCGAGCTCAGCTGTGGGCTTCTACTGTAAGGAAACAAATCAGATTAGGTGTGTACTAACACTATGTTATGTCTCAAGATGTGGTTGGACTCATGGAATGTCATGGAACATGATGGTAGTTGAGTTAATAATTCTGCTGAACTATCCCATTTCCAGAACCGTATTAACTGATTTTTCTGAATCTCAAATAACCTACAGGAGAAACAGCTATGAGTACATGGATGGTAAGGATACTTCTTTGGTCAACCTGATGAGGTAAGAGCCATGCTTTTTACATGTGGAGAGGATATTTATCTCTAAGACAAGATCACTGTCCTTTCTCCTCTACTTTCCTCAATGACTTTTACATGATATTTCCTTTGAATACCATGACCAGTTTGTAAAAGCACATTCTATATAAATACTATTTTTATCATAACATAAAATAATATGTTGAATAAATGGACATGAAAATGGGCCTTGATGAATCTAGAGCAACTGGGGCATTGACTCACTCTCTCTCTATAATTAACATTGGATATGCATTTCCTGCTTCAAAAATATCATAATACATGGACATTGCATTAAATTGGTGTCCTGACAGTAATGGTTTTTAGTCTTTTGAAAATTATACACTGTCCAACCAACTTGATACAGATGGCCTTTAATTTATGAGACATAAACCATACCAGGCACAGTGGAAAAAAAGAAAGAGAGAAGAGAGCCAGGTTCTGGCACAAGCATTGTCATGCAGTGGTCTAAAGTAAGGACTGATGTGCCTACATTACAGTTACCAGTTGCCCTATGGCCAAACCAGTTGCTTCCCCATGCACCCTGAGGACTTTCAGAGGATATCCTCATGCTTTGTCTTTGGCGCAAATTTAGAAGACCTGGTTGAAGCTATTGCCTGACACTGTGTCCGTTTTATCTCTCCACTCCATGCTTTTTCTTGGTCTCTGTCTTCTGCCCCTTCTCTTTTTGTGTCTCTGCCACTCAAAGAGAAAATAATCCTAATAATCTTTACCAACTAAACAAAACAAAACTGGAGATGTGGATGAGAGAAGGAAGCTGCATCTGGATAATTGTTTTGTGAGCAGTTCTGGGAGAGGCTAAAATAACTCCCAGGATGCAGGAGAAAGATCCAAGAGAAAGGACTTGAAAGAATTGCCTTTGGAAAATCTGAGTTGTGCAGCATGTGTGGTAGGCTAGAGCTAGCCAGTGTACATTAACCATATTGTGTGGCATAAAACTGAATGAAGTTTGGGGTTTAGGGAAACTCTGTGTGCTTCATGGCCGGTAAAGGAGAAAGGTCGTCTAGGGATTTGATGATGACTAGTGAGGAAAGGAAGTAGCAAAACATGCTTTTCAGAACAAATATTGTATCTGCACATTGGATGTGGGACTTCATTGATCTCATGAGAGAGATACATGTTTGCAAGGGGAGCTGTTACAGAATTGGGCTACAAGCAGGATAGAGGCTATCAGAGAACAGATGAGATTCAAGTGTAACAGCGCATGCGAACTCAAAATTTATCTCTGCCCTAGGTATGTGAACTGTGCCCGGAATGATGAGGAGCAGAATTTGGTGGCCTTCCAATACCACAGACGGATATTTTACCACACCTGCCAAGTCATCAAACCAGGCTGTGAACTTCTAATATGGTATGGGGACGAGTATGGAAGGGAGCATGAGTATCAAAGGAAGCAGTGGGAAGAAAAAGAAGGGAAGAAAAAGGAAGAACTCACAACACTGAGAGGTAAGTCGCACTGTTGCTTTTAAAATAAGTAAAGGAGTCACCTATGTAATGCTTGTCATTCAACTCTAAGGAATCAAATGGAAATTAATAGCTGGAAAAGCCCAATTCAAATGTGATTTCAATTTAGCAAAAACAAAGACTTACTTCTCAAAAGAAGGGAAGAGATATAAAGAGACTCAAGCACAGAGAGAGAGAGAGAGAGAGAGAGAGAGAGCGGGAGAGATCACCAGTTACTGTTTTAACCACAAAGGCTGCAGGAGGGCCTAGCACGACAGCCTCGTGGCTAAAGTCCTCACCTTGGTCACACTGCTATCAAATATGAGCATCACTTCATGTCCTGACTGACCTACTTGCCTTCCAGCTTTCTGCTTGTGGCCTGGAGAAGCAGTTGAGGACAACCTCAATCCTTTGCAGTGTTATAGCCACAATGGGGACCAGGAAAAAATTCCTGACGTTAATTTTTAGATTGAAACATTTTGGCCTATTGTGGTCACTTGGGAGTGAATCAAAAGACAGACAGATTTCCTCTCTGTCTCTTATCCCCTTTGTATTTATGATTTCATATATCATAATATCATATATATATAATATATGTAAAGATATTATATTATGTTATGTTATATTATATCATATTATATTATATCATATATGTACTGTTTACACTATTTTTTTTTTAATCTGAATCTGTGAAGTCTATCTCTAGCTAAAACCAGGAGCCCATTTACTTCAGCAGTTTAACTGTTTTGTACTCATATCCTGGGTCATTAAAAGACCAGGGAATAGGATAAGGGGAAGCCAGATCTCAATCCAGTCATTATATGCTTTAATATCATCATAGTAGTGACTTGAAACAATGTGACTTAATACTGACCCATTTTTTATTTCTTTGACTCCTGGGAAACTTTGATCTATGTTTTATTTAGTTATTTTAGCTTTTAAATACTTTGTGCACAAAAATATCCCAGAACATACATTTTACATTATTTTTTTATTTTTCTTTATATTTTTCACAACTTATATAGTTAATTAGGCTAAAAAGGTTCAACGGCTATAGGAACATGCGTAAGACTATGATTTGCACATAGTTTCCCTCATGTATCTGAGGTAACGGGCTATATTGAGGGAGAATCCTCACCCAGTTACCCCCTCCACCCCAGGTCCTTCATGTGAGGCACATTCTGAGACTCTCGCTCAAGTGGTTTTGATAGTTGATCAGTTCTGAAGCGCTGCCAGTCTCACCACTCCAAACACAATGAGGTTGTTGAAGACTCCACTGAATGACTTAGTCCATCATAATCTCTGTTGGCCAGTAGTTTGCTGCCAAAATATAGCTGCATTGGTTGAGTGATGTGTTCTGTCTTCTGTCTTGTCTTGGTTAGGGTTCTGAGTCTGGCATTTTGATTGTGGAGATCCACAAAGATAAGTTCAAGGTCTGATGTGTTTACAGTCTAAATTCTTTTTTTTTAAGAATTTTTTTTTAATATTTTTTATTGGAAAGGCGGATATACTGAGAGGAGAGACAGAGAGGAATATCTTCCGGCTGATGATTCACTCCCCAATTGAGCACAACGGCCTATGCTAAGCCAATCCAAAGCAAGGAGCCTCTTCCGGGTCTCCAACGCGGTTGCAGGGTCCCAAAGCCTTGGGCCATCCTTGACTGCTTTCCCAGGCCAAAGGCAGGGAGCTGGAAGGGATGCGGGGCTGCCCGGATTAGAACCGGTGGTCATATGGGATCCTAGGGGCATGCAAGGCAAGGACCTTAACCACTTGCGCCACCGTGCCGGGCCCTACAATCTAAATTCTTGTATGTACTGGCAAGTACAGCGCCTGGCACATTCCGTCGCCCTGATACCTGGTGGTTGCAATTCCTGGGTTGCTTCTGTTTTCAGCCCTGACACCCACTGGAACCAATGGATTTTGCAGTCCAGCCTGGTACTGTCCAGAAAATACTCAGCCTTCACATAAGCCGGTGTGGACTGCCCACTTCTTCACAGCAAACCCCTTTCCATTACCAACTGACACATTAGTCAGCTGTTAGAGCTATTTTGCCCAGCTTGTCTGACCCCCAGGTCTGGACCACATATTCACCAGTGAAAACTGACTTGCCAGGGGAGTTTCTCAACTTCCTCCACTTGATCCTCTCCCTGACCCAGTTCTCAAACATGCCATTGTGTTTTATTCCAGGACTTGGCAAATCTGGCTTTCCATTTAGCTTTGTATGGGCTGGTGAACATTACAAGCCAGAGCAGGTTATGGAAATTACAATTTCCACAATGGTTTCCTTATATTAGAGAGAACATATGTATTTGCTGTTTTGTGATTGACATATTTTATTGAGCATAATGGATTCTCTTTGGGACCACCTGGTTATCCATGGCATAAGTTTGTTCTTCTTAATAGATAATATTATTCCATGGAGAATAAGTAATACACTTTCTTCAACCATTCTTCTATGGGAGCACATCTGGATTGTTTCCATGTCTTTGCTATTGCAGACTGTGCTGCTGCAAATATACGCTTAGCGATCCCCTTCGCATATGCAGATTTCTTTTCTATTGAGTACATTTCTAGGAGCAGGAGAGCTGTATTGTATGGCAGGTTTGTTTGCAATTCTCCAAACATTCTCCATAAATTTCCATAGTGTTTATATTAGGCGAACTTCTACCTGCAGTGAAAGAGGCTACCATTCTTCGAACATCTTTGCCATTAGGTTGTAACTGGAGATCTGAATGTAGGCCAGCCTCACTGAAGTTAAGCAGTACTTCAACATGGTTTTAAAGTGTGTCTCTCTGATGGCTTGGGAGCCTGAGCATCTTTTCCTTTGAATCTGATCTACTGAAAAAATGGTCTGTAGAATCCTTTGCCCTTTACTTCACAGGTTGTTTGCTTGTTTTTTATTGACACTGGGATTCTGTATCTCTTTGCAAATCCTGCATATTAGTTCTTATTCATTTGTGGGTTGTGCAAGTGTTTTCTCTGTTTCTGTTCTTTACCTTCTTACTTTGTTCATTAGTTTCCTTTAGTGCACAGAAGAAACTTTTTAGTTTGATGACATCTAATTTGTTCACTTTGGCTTTGGTTTCCTGTGCTTTTGGTTACTCTTCTAAGAAATCTTGCCTTGTTGCTACATCTTCGAGTATGCTTCCTATGATTTTCTTGAAAAGTTTGATTGTTTCTGGGTGTAGATTTTGGTCGTTGATCCATTTAGAGCCAATTTTTATAGTTGGACAGTTGTGTTTCTGGCTTCTTACTTCTGCAGCTGCTAAACAGTTATCCGAACAGCACTTGCTGAATAGATCCAGATTTTGCTTGGATAGTTTCCAGCTTTCTTGTCAAAGATTAGTTGACCCTACATGTGTGGACTCCATTCTGCTGTTTGTATTTACGTAGCTTAATTCCTAGGTATTTAAGATTCCACTCTTCTATGTTAAAACTTACTCTACTAAAAATTCCTTTCTCAGCCTTAGAATTGTTGGTGTACACCAGTGTCATTGACTTGTGCTCACTCATTCTTTATCCTGCTACTCTGCCAAAGTCTCTTCTGAGTCCCAAAAGACTCTTGGATGAATCCTTTGGTCTCCTAGGTAGAGAATCATGCAGTCTGCTAGTAGCAATAATTTCATTTCCTCAGTTCAAATTTGGATATATTTTAATTCTTTTCTGCTTGCCTCGTGGCTCTGGCAAGGAATTCCAATAATGTAGTGAAAATCAGTGGTGACACTGGGCATCCCTTTCTAGGTCCTGGTGTTACTGGGTAGGTTTTCAATCTTTCCCCATTTACTATGATGCTGGTATATTGGGTTGTTCATGAATTGCTTTGATTGTATTGTGGAATGTTCCTTCTATGCCTGACTTCTTTGCATGTTGAGAGGATCGTATGGTATTTATTTTTAATTTGTTGATGTGATGTATCACATTTCATGATTGGCTGATGCTGGATCATCCCTGCATCTCTGCAGTACATGGATGTATCCCACCTGGTCCAGCTGAATGCTCTGCCTGATGCGCTCTTGGATCTGGTTGGCTAGTATTTTGCTGAGGATCTTTGAATCTATGTTCTTCAAGAATATCGGTTTGTAGTTCTGTTATTGTGTTGTTTCTCTGTGGCTTTGGTACTAAAGTGATATTGGCTTCATAGAAAGTGTTTGGAAGATCTGCATCAGTTTCTACTGCTTGTAAAATTTTGTGAAGGATTGGGGTAAATTCCTCTTGAAATGTGTGCTAGAATTCAGCAGTGAAGCCATCTGGTGTAGGACTTTCCTTGTTTGGGAGGGCTTTAATTGCTGACCTAAAATCATTGCTAATAATAGGCCCATTTAGATTAATTGCTTCTAGATTCAATTGTGGTGGATTGTATGTGTCCAAAGATCTATCCATCTCTTTTAGGTCATCTGATTTGCTGCAGATAGTTCCTTGTAATATTTCCTGATGGGTAATGGGGAGTCTGTTTTGTTAATTATCTCAAAGAACCAGCTCTTCGATTCATTGACCTTATGTATAGATCTTTTATCTCTATTCCATTTATTTCCTCTTTGTTTTGATGATTTCCTTTTGGCTTCTAATCTTAGGAGTGCACTGCTGTTGGTTTTCCTTCTCCTTCAACTGCAGTGCTGGCCAATTTACTTCATGTTTTTCTAGTTTCTTGACATAAGCACGGATTGCAATGAACTTCTCCCTAGCACTGTCTTGATTTCCCTTATGTTTTCCTCCCTAACTCACTACTCATTTAGTAACATGAATTAGTCTCCGTGTGTTTGCAAGTATTCCTTGGTGTTTTGGATTTCTTGGTTTCTAGCTTCAGTCAATGATAGTCTGAGAAGTTGCTTAGTATAATTTTAAGTTTTAAAATTTGTTGAAGCTTGATTTGTGGCCTATAAGATGGTCAGTTCTGGAGAAGGTTCCAATGCTCTAATTTTAAACAAAAAATGTATTCTCTGTCTGTATGATGAACTGCTTGATAGATGTAAACAAATGCATTTGCTCTAGAGTTTGGGGGAGTT